ACAGGTCGGCGCCACCGTACCGACGCTCGGTATACTAGTCCACATTTTTGGCGGCAGCCGCCCAGTCTAAGGTCCAATCCCCGAACCGAACGGTCGTCCGAAATACTTAGGTAAAAGGGCTAATTTCCAATCGACCACCGAACAACCGGTCGACATACGACAGTTTCTTTGCTCAATTGATTCTTTTTCTTCTTCTTCTTTTTCTCTATTCTATTTTTATTCTATTTCTTTACTTGTTGAAAAAGAAAAAACGAGAACGATCGAGAAAAGTTTTTTTGATTTGACCGTGGGATCGCGTAACGATTCAATTACTTCAAGAAAGAGAGAGAAAAAGAGAAACAAATCATCACGTAAAAACGAGAAAGAGATAGATAACCGTGAGTGCGACGCTCTTTGAGGCTGAATCGCGGACTATACCAAGAGGAACGATTCCTTCAAAGGGAAGATTAAGGATTCACGTTCGCGGTATTATTCCGTTCTCCATGTGTGCGCCAGTGAAAAAGAGGGGAAAAAAAAAAAGGAAAAGAGAACACCTGACTGGACATGGCTACGCCTACGCTTGTCCTCTGCGTATATTTAGTAGGAATTTGCTCTTCCATTAACCTAAACAGATTTTTTTTTATTGTATTACTTATTTTGATTGTTTCACCCTTGTGTGCATTTTTCTTTAGGACTAATTAGGATTAATGTTACTAACGATGCGAATAAAAATTACACTATGAGAAGATGATCTTTCTACAATAATCCTTTGAGACGAAAACGATTCAAGTATTATTATTTCACTTAATCGATTAATAAAGTAATTATAATTAACAAAAATTAGATTAATTTAAAATATAAAAAAATAATCGTTACAGTCTCATTTATGGAAAGAAAAAATATATCCCTTGCTGTTTACGCCCTATGTTTTTTACTATGGTAATACATGCATGACAATATTACCGATTGCGCGTGATACATTATAACACCCGTTCTTGAGCGTGGCACGATTGAATAACATATAATGTAGAACATATTATCTCATTATCAAACGAAATCTAAAATAAAAAGAGATACGAGTAATACAAGTAATCATTATAGAATATATTATAGAAAAGTTATCGTCACCATAACCTATAAAATTATACAAAACGTTTTAAAATATAAGTGCCTCAGTGCGTTCAACGATCGATCGATCGAATAATACATAACCACGGTTCCGAATCGAAGTTCTAATTTCGTGGAAGCGCGTTTGTAATAGTTGGCGCGACTCACGTCTCGGTTTCGCTTCTATCGCATACCAATTCAAGGCAGACCAGCCGTTCCTTGCCGCGTGCTTTTCGAAAGATAGTACAAACTTAGTGAAGATACACGATGGGTTGGTACGCGTGTATATGTGTGTGCCAATCACACAACCGAACAAATTGTTTATAATAATTGGCAGCGATTTGTTTGGCAGTTACGTAACGCTACGCGGCATGCCTGTCGAGATAAAAATATCCACGGGATGCCGCCAAGTCCGATGTGTCTGTTATAGCCGCTCTCTTTCTGCGGCTT